GTCAACGCCATCGCGCCCTGGCAAACCAGCGACGGCTGAGACTCGCTCGAGGTCCGGGACCCGAGGACGTAGAGCGTCGACATCTAACCAAGCTTGCACGTTAAAGGGGGGGTACCTAAGCATCGCGACTCAGGGCTCCTACCGGCTCTCCAGCCCTCTCCCTCTGACTTTGTCCACGGCATCGCGCCCTGACAAGCCAGTGACGGCTGAGACTCGCTCGAGGGCTGGGACCCGAGGACGTAGAGCGTCAATTTGCAGGAACACATCACAAGTTAAGGCCCAGTGCCAGGCGTAACCCGCCTTGAGGTAGGGCCCCGTGAGTCTCGCGCTGGCTCACGGGTGCCCAGATACACCTCCTCATGCCCTACCATGTCGGCCACGTGTCAGGGCGGGGCTGTACACACCCCGGGGGCTCCTCCCAGAGGGGAGCCCCCTCCCACGCACCAGTGGAAGCACCATGCTCCGTGCTGGCTGACGACACTGCCTAGGAGCGGCTATGCCCGTACACATATGGAAGCGCTATGCTCCGCGCTGGTGATAAACAACTGAGGGTGGCCCCTGGCCGCATTAACCTCAGGGAGCCTAGAGCTCAGTGTCTGGTCTCATCGCAACGCCTCCCCTCGGGAGTGCCGCACGAGGGGGCTGGGCACGGGGGGCTGCGCCAGGGTCACGCCGAGACGTACGCCACCCAGCTAGGCCCCTCGGGCCTGGTTCGTCGCGCGTCTCTCCTCGAGCGGAGCCAAGGTACGAAGGCCATTTGAGCGTCAAGGGGGACTCCTGAGCATCGCGACTTAGGAGCCTAACTGGTCACGTAGCCCCTCATTCCTTAGTTCCGAAAGTCTAACGGGGGTTGAGGTATGCGTGGGGCCGGGCTCTGCAGACGTAGAATGGTAGATTCACCCACACATCTCACCTCCCTACTTGCTGTTCGTGCGCCAAAGGGGACTCCTGAGCATCGCGACTCAGGAGCCTAACTTGTCACGTAGCCCCTCACTCCTTGGTCCCATCCTGGTTTCCGGTCGGGGCTAACGCGGTTGAGGTATGCGCGGGGCCGGGCTCTGCCGGCGTAGAACATAAGCAAGTAGGAAGAGCGCAAATTTCAAGGAATTCAAAAGCAAATATTACAGTCCATAACTGTTATCACGACACCAAACACAAGTTTAAACGCCTCCCCGAGGCATGATGCATGTTGCAGAAGCTGAAAGCAGGACAGGAGCCACGACGGAGTCATTTGTTGGCGGCAGAGCTGCGCAGAGCGGGTTCGCCTCGTGGAGCCATAGGACCGGCAGCGCCTCACTTCGGCTTGGTGCTGAAGGCCCGGAACTTCGACAGCAGGGCCTCCGCACGACCCTTCACGGCCTCAGCAGCGGCAGCGGCAAGCTCGCCGCTCGCTGGCTCCAGCAGGCTGTCGAGGTCGACGTTGGGATCACGAAGGTAGACGTGGGTAAGGATCCGCGTCAGCATTGCAGAAGACAGGACATGCGCCTCGGCCTCAGCCGTAGGGCCAAGGCCAAGGGTGACATCTTCAAGAGCACGGAGCAAGAAGGGGACCAGCTTGGCGGGGCCGTCCTCGGCGCCGGCCATCGGTCTTTCCAGGCCGCTGTCGTAAAGCGACTTCAGCAAGCCGCGAGCCTTCACCTCCATCTCTGTGAAGGCCTCGCGGTCCTCAGCAAGGACCCACGCCTTGCCATCCAGCTCGACCTTCCACGCCCCCAACTCCTAATCCAGTGCGCCCAGGCGGTCACGGCGCTTGTTAAGCTTGGCGTGTCGGTCCTTGACGACCGCCTCGTGAGTCTTCATGTCTTCCTCCTTCTCTTGGCGGGTGCGGACCTCCTTGGCAAGCTGGTCCTGCAGGTCCTGCAGCTCACTCTCCAGCGCCTTGCAACGGCCTTGGGCACCGGCCGCCTCCCCCAAGGCGGCGTCGCGAGCAGCCTTTGCCTCAAGGACGGCCAGTTTCTCCTCATCGCAAGCCGTCGAGGCCTGAACCAGCGCCGCTCGAATTGAAGCGTCAAAGCGAATCTAGCCAGAAGCCAGCTCCAAGCGCCCGGCCACCAAGCGAGCGTCGACGCCCAGAAGATCTTGCCGTAGCCGGTCCAGTTCAGTAGCAGCACGATCCAGGACAATGGAAGGAGTCGGAGAGACAGCAGTTGGTGGAGTGGGAGGAGAGGACGGCAGCGTAACCACAGGCGGGACTTGCTGCGCCCCAACAGTTGTGGCGGTGGCATCAGGCAATGATTCTTCAGGAGTCGCTTGGGCCATGGGGGCTGCGCACGCCCCAGCCAGCCCCACCAGGCCTCGCGAGGACGACCAAGCAGGAGAGGCCGTGCCTCGCGGACACCTCCCTTCGCGGGCGAAGGCGCTGCCCCAGACGGAACCTCAGGACCCTCCTTCAGCTTTTTTGACACAGGCACCAGCCTATCCAGGAGATACGGACGTCAAGCCTCAGCGACAAAACAGGGAATGTAGCAAGAATCAAGCACTTACTGGTCGCCGCTCGCGAGCTCGAGTAACCTCCGGCCGTACTTGAATCCCGAGAGCCGGCTACTGGGATCAGCCTCGAGAGGCTCGGAAGTAGGAGGCACGTCTGCGGATCGCCTCGGAGCCGGGGCAGACCCGAGGGGGACCAGCCCAGTCCTGTCCTTCTTCCGGATCGGGGGCAAGCTCTCGCCGCCCCGCTCACCGTCATCCTCGTCGTTCCTCGGCAAGAGGCGGAGAGCGCGGGACCTGCGCCGGGGGAGGGGCGCTCTCGACTCCCCGTCGGTAGCCTCGGAGTCAGGCCCTCCTTCCCGCTCCTCTTCTTCCTCCTCTTCGCTGGAGTCACCAGAGGACACGTTCACCAGGGCCGCCAGGTCCTTGAGAACCTCCGTGGGCATGGGCCCGTCCCCATTGAAGACGGGCATGGAGTCCACCACCTTCTCCCAATCATCTCGTAGAAACAGGGGTACAGGGGCGCCCTCCAGCCTCGCCACGTCTCCTCCGACCAAAGATTGGAGGACCTCGGCCAAATCTTCGTCGGCCAAGACTTCGGGGCTCAGGCGGGGCCTCCACAGCGGGAGCAAGTACTTGCGAAGCGGGGCCTCCTGGTTCTCCAGGAACTCCCTCAGGAGCGACACACCAGTCAGCTTCGCCGTCACCATGTCCCCCGGCCTCAGATCCGCGTCCATCTTCTCCAACACCGGCTTCGCGCGGGGGTCCACAAGTTCCGCACGAGACCAATCATCGGAGCTCGTGGGCTGCTCCGTGGGCAGAATCAGCCGAGGGTGGATGCGCCCAACATCTACCATGACTCATTTTCTCCTGAAGCCTTCAATCCTCTTCCCGGGCTTCGAGATGGCGTTGGATCCGCCATATGCGTCGAAGCTCGTGCACGCGGAGAGAGGACCACGAGAGAGCCGGAGGGAGAAGTAGTGGCGCAGCAAGGCCACCGAGGGCTGCACCCCGACGCGAGCCTCGCAATAGTAGGCGAAGATCGCTAGGAGAAGGACAGAGTTGGGGTGGAGGTGCAGAGTTTGCAGGTCGTAATGGCGGAGGACAGAGAAGAAGAACTCAGAAAAAGGAGGTACCAGACTGGAAGCAATGGCGCTTACGAAGAGCGGGTAGAAGGTGCTCCCTTGGGCCTCAGTAGGGGCGGAGCCGGCCTTGAACACCTTCGCCCCATCGATGCCTTGCTCCGCCACCATCCGGCGCATCCGGGCAAGGCTCGCCTCCGACACGTTCGGCGAGTCCAAGGCGGGCGAATACCAAGCTTCGGCCGGGGTCTGGTGAGGCGCCATGACTTGCTAGGGCGCGTAGTTGTAGTAGATCTGAAGATTTCAGAGGCAGAGAGGAGGGGTGCAAGAAAGGGGATCTGGGCAATGACCGGAGGAAGCAAGGGAAGCAAAGCCTAGGCAGATGCTGCTCTTTTTCCGATTCACGCAGTTGCTGTGGCACCCACACACAACCAACTGCCACGCGACGCCCGAGGCCGCATGCTGTTAGGGCCCGCGGCGCTTCGCGCTTGCCCCTTCGCTTCTCTGCTCAGCCAAGTCCGGGCGCGCCTTGGGCCCGGGGGCTACTGTCGGCGTTCTAGGAACGGGGGTCCCCAGACTTGCCTGCCTGCGGCCTGCAGCGTGGCTCAAGGGGTGGCCCAGCATGGCCCATCTTCATCAGCATGAGGTCAAGACCCTCGCAAGGGGCCAAGCCTCGCGGGGCGGACGACAGGAGGCTTCCTCAAGAGCGGCCTCGTCAAGCTGGCTTGCGAGGAGGCAGAGAGATCAAGGTGGGGTACCTCACGAGGTGCCCATGACGCAAGCCATGACGACCGAAGCCAGGCGGGCGCCAGGCGGGCGCCGGCCTGCGCAGAGTCTTTGTTTCCTCTTTGGTGTATAGGGAGCAAGCGCAGGCAAGAGCATCAAGCAAAGGCAGCCATTTCGGTGCAACAAGACCAAGACCAGCAGAACGGCAGGATGGAGGTCATCGTGGAGCCCAAGCCGGCGTCACCACCAGAGCCTTTGGCAGACGAGGACCAACTTTAGTCAGGATAAGTGTACTAGATGTCCCCCTTCAAAATGGCCAATTGTTGGCGCCCTTCCCGCTCAATATTTGGGAAGAGGCCCAGGGCCTTTGCCTATAAATAGGACTAGCCACCACAAGGTAGAGGCATCCGGTCATCACCAGGAAACCAGCAGAGAGAGCGACTGAACTCCCCCCCAGAGGTTCATCGCACCATCCAAGAATAGACCCTCGCGAGGTTGTTCTTGCTAGTATTGTTCATCATCAGCCCAAGAGGCAATCCACCACACCACACACTGGAGTAGGGTATTATACCACAATGGTGGCCTGAACCAGTATAAACTCTGTGTCTCTTGTGTTGTTCCTTCGATTGCTTAGATTTTAGCGAGGCGGTGAGGTGCAGGTAGGTAGAGGGCGAAATCTCCGTGCGCACCCCAGCGTTCGAATCTAGAGGGTCTGCCAGAACCCGAAATCCGACAGAGTCCACACGGAATGAAACCTTCGGGAGAGTTATTTTTGGAACAAATGCAATCCAGGAGACTTGGAGTGGACGTCAGGGATGCAACGAGGTGGTCACGACGGTCCAGGGCGCCCCCTGTGACACCCCAAAAATTTGGCCTTGTTTTATTTAAATTTTTTTGCCAGGAATTAAAACTTTAGATTTCTGAGCTCCATTTTTGTTTTTTTATCATTTCCTTCCCAGTTATGATGAGTTTTTCCCAGAGAGAAAACTTTTCAATTATGTTGTTGGACTTGTTTAACCTCTCAAGAAAAACTTTGCTGTTATCAGTGTAACTAATTAAATAATTAAATTGCTTGATCTTTACTTTCTTGAAAATGGTTTTTCAAGGTTATCTGACCATATTTGAACTACAACCATTTGATGGACTCACTTACAATTTCCGCAAAAATTTGGAGATGTCATGTGATGTTTTTGATTAACTTTTATGCAAAAATATATTTCATTCATAAAATATTTTGATCCCTGCACTCAATTTTTCTTCTCTGGTCCAGAGTGCATTTTGCACTACAACCTATTTAAATATTTCTTTAAAACTTCTACCAAAATTAAGGGAGGTCAGTAGGAGCATATTATTTCACTTTGTGCAAAAACCTATTTATGTTCTTTGAAAAATTTGAGTGGATCAACCTCATTTCCATTCTGGTCCAATTTGAGGATTTGTACAGCAGCCACCATTTTAGTTGCTCCTATACCCTTGATTATTTCTCCTACTTGTAGTCCCCCATGTTAAACCCTTAAGTCCAAGAGCATGCACCTTTTGGATCATTTTTGGTTCATGAAATAATGTCATTTATTTCCTGTCCAGAATTGGGGTTTTGTAAAACTTGCACTAGCAAGTTTCCCCTTTTGTCCAACTAACCACACCACCCTCTTATTCTTCTAAAGAGACCCCCATCTGGAGTTTTTGGCCACTCCAAGAAATGCCTAAGTGCCCTTGGCATTTTGTCAAACACTTGGTATGCATGATCAGTTTTGTCATGATTTTTGTTTTGCACTGTGACCTTGCACCTCTGATCAAACTAGCATGTCCACTAGCATCTCAACTAGCCCTAGACTAGAACTGCTAATCCTCAGCTCCAACCAAGCCATCTGGCAGGCCACGACATTTCGCCGAACGGATGGTGGGCGTGCTCTGGGCGCGCCCAGAGCGTGCGTTTGGCACGCCAGTGTGCTTGTGCCGCCGCGTCTCGCCCCGCACCCGTTCCGACTCGTTCCGGCCCTTGGCCAATAGCTGCTAGCACGCCACGTATCCCCCGCACCGCCACGCCACCCCGACCACCCCTGGCACCCCATAGCACCGCCACCAGAACCCTCTTGGCGGCATGCCCGCGGCCGCATCCACCACCGCCATGGGAAGCACCGCCCCGACCACCACAGCGCGCCAGCTCGCCTCCATGGACAGTGGATCTTTCGTCGGTAGCTCCTGGAGCCGACCAACCACCGCCACGTCGCCCTGCAACACAGTAGGGCGGTTCGCCGACAAACTTATCCCCGGCCGCCGCAAACCGACATGGACACGCTATAAAAAGGGACCCCGAGCCCCTCTGAGCACGCACGCACGCTCAGGCTACCCTCATGGCACCCCCATAGCCCGCAATCGTCCGGGAAACGTCGTCTTCCTCATCTCTGGCAACCACGGCCGCCGCCACTACCTCGTTCACTCCGGCGCCACCAGGGCCTCCCCCTCCCTAAACTCTACACCAGGAGCTTCCTCTCCCTCCCGTGAGCAGATCCCCCTATTCAATTTGGTTCGGGAGCCATCGCCGCCACAAAACCACTTTGCTCCCGAGGCTCCCTCCGCCGTGAAGCTCACCGCCGACGACTTCTTCCACCACTGTCGACCCCACGACCACCGGGAGAAACGCCCCAGCCGTGCGGATCCATCCCCGCCCTCCAGAGGCCGCGAGGAGCCGCCGCTCGCCGGTGTTGGTCGCCGGAGTCCCGCCTCCGCTCGGGACAAAGGAAGAAGGAGGAGGGCGGACTGGTCAAACCTGACCAGTGGGCCCCTTGGACCCACTGTCAGTGACCCTGCGCCTATCCACGTCGGTTAAGTGAAGACGTATTAACCCCAGTACGTCTCCCGTTTTCGAAGATGTATTCTGCCGAAACGTTTTCTTTTCTGTTTTATTTTAAAAACAGTTTTGACCATAACTTTGACTGGCTATAACTTTTTAAATATAAATCCAAATGAGTTGATTCTTTTTCCTACCTTCTTCAAATTTGGTCTAGTTTATTTTAAGATTTATTTGAAAAAATTTCAAACAACTTTTTGGTTCTGTTTTTGAAATATGTGTTAATTCAAATATATTTTTAAATAGGATTTTGGGAGAGAGAAGAAGCTTTCAAAAGTTTTGGAGTGCACCCTGCCTTTCCACACATTGAAGGCAAGCATTCTGAACCTCGGCATAATATTTTGGTGTGATCATTGATGCATTTATAACACCACCGCGTTTCGAAGGACTTGTTATTTCATGTGATATGATCATATGCATGGGTGCATGTTATTGATTTCCATGCTGTTGGAAACGAACACACTTGTGATGATAATCACCCTCATATGCCTTGAATGCATACCGGCAGAAAACCGTGAAAAAACCTCTGCCTTGGGTAGGTATGAGTTTGTCACCGGTCTCCGTCGGGACGGTTATGTCTGATATGGCATGGCAAGGTGATATGAGCGGTGACCCTGTTGGATGGATTATATTTGTTATACTAATCATGCAGGGAATACTTTAACCTCCTGAGTCGACCGTAGATCGAGTCTTGTTCCAGTAACCCCCATACTTGTTTCGTACTACCACTCGTCTCTACAGCAAGTAGAGTACGGTTCAGTAAGTTGTCAACCTCTTTCTAGCACACACCGTACAGAGAGGCCATGGTGGAAGATACTAGTTGTAACCGGTAGGCAGGCCACCTGGTCCGGGAGCATGGGTGTTTCCGGTTGGGACCGAGAGGGGAGGCCACCCCTTAGAGTGCACGATATAAATTTGATCCCATGCTACGCGAGGTTGTAGCCTCCCCACTTAGAGTTTGCTTAACAGGTGTCGTGGGTGATTCCAGACACGTGTGTGATAAGCTGGTGTGTGCAAGTTAGGTGTGTTTTCAACAAAAAGACCGTAGATGGAATTAGTCCCGATGGACTAAAGAAATCCGTTACTCGTGGGTAAAGAGTACACCCTCTGCAGAGAATAAACCTATTCGAATAGCCGTGTCCATGGTTAAGGATTACAGTCTGGGATGGGTCAAGTATCGGTCTTAGTGTCGGTCTTCGGAGGTGAAACTGTTAACAAAAAAAATGGAATTACTACCCGTGACTTGTGATATCTGTGATGATTATTATTATCGTTGACTAACCCGTGATATTATTGTTATTACCAAATATCTCTGGGATGGTTCTACCTCCGGGATATTCATTATGATCCTTTCTTTTAAAGCCCTTTATGTGGCGTCGCTCAGACGCCCGACTGTGGCATTTCTTTTAAAGCCCTTTATGTGGCGTCGCTCAGACGCCCGACTGTGGCATTTCTTTTAAAGCCCTTTATGTGGCGTCGCTCAGACGCCCGACTGTGGCATTTCTTTTAAAGCCCTTTATGTGGCGTCGCTCAGACGCCCGACTGTGGCATTTTCTTTTAAAGCCCTTTATGTGGCGTCGCTCAGACGCCCGACTGTGGCATT